ATCAAATAGGTGAAAACTGGCATTCTTGCAGTAATTTGAGTCTTTTTGAGACGGCTTGCGATTTCAATGTAAACCAATGGGGAATGATCAAATAGGTGAAAACTGTCTTGCAGTAACTTGAGTCTTTTTGAGACGGTTTGCGATTTCAATGTAAACCAATGGGGAATGATCAAATAGGTGAAAACTGACATTCTTGCAGTAACTTGTCTTTTTGAGACCGTTTGTGATTTCAATGTAAACCAATGGGGAATGATCAAATAGGTGAAAACTTACATTCTTGCAGTAACTTGAGTCTTTTTGAGACGGCTTGCGATTTCAATGTAAACCAATGGGGAATGATCAAATAGGTGAAAACTGACATTCTTGCAGTAACTTGAGTCTTTTTGAGACGCTTTGCGATTTCAATGTAAACCAAAGGGAATGATCAAATAGGTGAAAACTGACATTCTTGCAGTTACGTGAGTCTTTTTGAGACGGTTTGCGATTTCAGTGTAAACCAATGGGGAATGAACAAATAGGTGAAAACTGACATTCTTGCAGTTACGTGAGTCTTTTTGAGACGGTTTGCGATTTCAATGTAAACCAATGGGGAATGATCAAATAGGTGAAAACTTACATTCTTGCAGTAACTTGAGTCTTTTTGAGACGGCTTGCGATTTCAATGTAAACCAATGGGGAATGATCAAATAGGTGAAAACTGACATTCTTGTTCTTTTGTCACCTGGCAGATCTTTTCTCTTAAATCCTTCTTTTAAGGTTGTTATTTGATCTGCCATACCCGCTGCCTCTACAATTGTGGATGGCTTGCGATCCTGAATCACCCAACGAATATCATAAGGCACTAGTTGGAAAAACTGCTCCAGCTTCAAAAGTTCCCTCAGCTGTTGATAATCTTCCACCTCAGATGTCCTTATCCAACTATCGAACAGTTGAGACAATCTTGAGGCCACCTGACCAAAACTTTGAGTTTTATCTTTCTTTAATGTCCTGAACTTAAATCTATAATATTCAGGAGTCAATCTAAATTCTTGTTGAATCTGTTTCTTAAACAGATCATAGTCTCCATATGAATCCTCAGACATCTGTCCATAAATCTGCAAAAGTTTCCCACTTATCTGAGGCCTTAGGTATGTCATCCATTTTTCCTTAGCCACCCCAAAATCTCGACAACATCTCTCAAAAGATATTAGGAATTTCTCTGGGCCATCGTCTTTGGTAAATTTTGGGAATTTTTCTTCAAATCTGGGGTATCTCCTCCAGATCTCCCTTCCTGGATATCCCTGGATGTTTGAGACAAAGCCAATCTTTGTTTCTCTAGCTCAAACTCCATTCTCTTCCATTCTAACTCCTGTTCCAATTCTCTCACTCTCTGTCTTTCTTCAAACTCTCTCTGTTTTTCCTCCATCTCCAATCGTTTCATCTCTAGTTTATACTTACAAGCCATTTCTGAGAAAGGCATCGGCTCGGTCTCTGTCTCAGAGCTCGAACTTTCCTCTTGGTCTACCTCTCTTTCCTCAGCCAGCTTTCTCTGTCGCCTGGTAGCCATCTTTCAGCAACTTTTACCTCACAACTTATNCCCCCCCCCCCCCCCGAAATTTGAATCCATTAGTCAGAGTACTACTGGTCTCCAGAGCAGCATAAAATAAGCCTGGCCCCTCCTCAATATGACTTTTTTCAGATGCTTAAATATGTTTATGTTTATGTTTATTTATATCCCATTTTTTTCTCTTCACAAGGAGGCTCAAAGTGGCTTTTCTGTGCAATTTAAAGCATTTCAATGCCATTTAAAATTTACAAATATAGAAGAGAAAAAATAGGGGAAAATTGAAGGAAAAAGGATGTGGGGCAGACCAAGGGCAAGATGGATGGGTAGTATCATTGAAGTGACTGGTTTGACTTTGAAGGAGCTGGGAGTGGCCACGGTCAACAGGGGGCTCTGATGCGGGCTGGTCCATGAGGTCACAAAGAGTCAGAAGTGATTGAATGAATAAACAACACAATCATTAAAATATGGCTATCCTGTCCCCTCTCAACCTTATCTTCTCCAAGTGAAACCTACCAACTTTCATCATTTCTGTTGCCTTTCTTTGAATATGTTCCAGCTTTTCAATGTCTTTCTTGAGTTGTGGTGTCCAGAACTGTATTGTTCCAGGTGAGGTCTGACCAAAGCAAAACAGAGTGGGACTATGATTTCCTTTGAACTAGATACTATACTCCTATTGATGCAGCCCAGAATTACATGGGCTTTTTTAGCTGCTGTATCACAGTTAACTCATGTTCAGCTTGTGTTCTGCTAAGGCTCCTGGATCCCTTTCACATGTACTGTATCCAAGCCATGTGCCATCCATCTTATATCTGTACATTTCATTTTTCCCCTGCCTAAATGTAATACCATACACTTTTCCCTGTTGAGATTCAGTTAGCTTTGCTTTGGCTCTCTAATCTGTTCAGGTCATTTTGGATTCAGATTCTGTTTTCTGGGGTATTAGTTATCCCTCCCAATTCGGTGTCAACTGCAAATTTGATAACCGTATCCTCTATTCTTTCATCCAGGTCATTGGGAAAGATGTTGAATAGCATGGGGTCCAGAACAGAACCTTGTGGCACCCCACTCATCACTTCTCTCCAGGATGAAAAAGAGCCATTGCTAAGCACCCTTTGGTTTCAGCCAGTTAACCAATTCCCCCATTGTTGTTATCAGAAAATAAATATATTGTATTGTTCCAATGCTAGCAGCATTGACTCTTTGCAATCTGAGAAGAGCATAAAACATGGAAAATCCTTTTCAAAATGCTTTTTCTTTTTAAAGCACTTAAAAAGAAAAGAAAAACAATTACAAAATGCTACATCAAGGCAGGGAGAGCTAACCCAATACCCAGTTACTAAATTGCTTTTGATATGTTATTTTGTTACTCAGAGATTATATAAAAAGTATTGTGTAACCATTAATGTTGCTATTTGCAGCTTGTAACTTCCATACACTGTTTCAGTCTGAATATCACAAATGGAGAATATGTCTAATGATAGTTTTATGGAATCATTTTGTTAAAAGGCACAAAATACAAAGTAAACATGCCACAAGAGCGCTTACGTCTTTTCTCTTTCTCACAGAGGGTTATTTATGCTATTTCAGAAATATATCTATATACAAAGATGGACCTCATAACCTGACAGAGCTGACATCTGGCTCTTGATTTGTTTTTCCACGAAGCCTGTGCATCATGGATTTACAGAGTACAAATAGTTCCCTTTTCAACTGGTGCCTGTAATTTATCTGACCACTTGGGTGAGTATACGAGAGCACTTGATCTTTAATTAAATTACACGAACAGCAACTGGCGCCTGAACTTCAGAAGAAGTCAGCCCTGTCACATATAAATGGAACAATGTTGATCCTGTAAGCTAGTGAAAAACATGACAATCCTAGAGAGGAAAACTTCTGTCTTGCTATTCCCGAGATGCACTTGAAGCCTTACATGAATTTTCATTGGGCTTAATGTGCAAAAGGCGATTCCCGTTTCCTAAAATCCCCTCCCAAGAACCACAACAAACATGCACAGATCTGTCAGGTTCCTTGGTTTTCCATTTTAGTTATTCAATGAGGGGGAAAAAATCAAGTAAACATTGTATGTTTTCAGACCTCTAGAGCATCTCTTGTTGATCATCATCTTATGTTGGCTTGGGAATGCTGGAATTATTATCCAAAATGTAGCTTACTCCAAAGTCAGGGATCTAGAAGCAGGTGGCGGCAAACTGACACACTAGGGCAAGAGGCTCAGGAAGGTGTTGCTGACAGCTGCCCTAGAGCTGAGCAAACAAATAAAACATCTGAACAATTTTGTCTTTGCTTGTAAAGCTAGCAGAACTGACTCAGGCGGTTATCACTGTGTGAATCTTCTTATTTACTTACTTACAGTATTAATATTCCACCCTTCTCACTCCGAAGGGAACTCGGAGCGGGTCACAGAACATATATATGGCAAAAATTCAGTGCCATTATACACTGAAAAGACAGACAAGTGTACATAGATATAGGTATATATAGGCTTTCCCATCTTCGGCATCTTGGAGGCTGTGCTCGGTTCTGGTCATGGGTGTGTGTGTGTTGTCACTCCACTTTCCCTGCTGAAGAGCCAGCATTTTTCTGGCATTCCCTTATGGGTGCCTTAAATACCTCCTCGCTTAAGCGGTACCTATGTATCTACTTACATTGCTGTTTTTGAAACTGCTAGGTAGGCAGAAGCTGGGCTAAAGGCCAGGAGCTCACCTGACCTGGGCTTTGAACTGTCAACCTTTTAGTTGGCAAGATTTACTGCAGCTGGCAGTTAATCTGCTGTGCTAAAGCTCGGCCCCTTATTGTTATTACTCATATTTGGAGATAAATGTTACATCATCGGTGTATGTTTGAAAAATGATATGTGTATGTTTGAAAAATGATACATATGCAGGTGATTGTGTTATCACTGTGATTACAATTGTGGGCCATCCAGTCCAACCCTCTGCCAAGAAGCAGAAAAATCGCATTCAGATGTAACATTCAAGTTGCTTGTATTATTGTGTTCCTAACTTTGTCCATCAGATTATCCATAGCAATCAAATGTTGAAATTAGTTTCAGCCCTGGATAAAGCACTCAAGCCTTTCCAATGCTGTGTCCATTTTAACCTGGCTGTCAAGTGGAGTCAAAGTAAGTGATTTTTTTCCCCTTCAAGAACATATAAATTACTTTCCAAAGATGCTCTAGTGCTTTAGTTGTAATTTTGGGTCATAAAAAAGTGTTGACCGGAACTTTTATACTCATTTATATTCAACTACTTGTGTTTTTATTCATATTTTTGTTGTACAGAAACACATTGTCTGCTATATTTTGGTGTTGCATTATGAGAAGTCTTCCACCAGTGTTTGCATATGTATCCACAGAAGAATGCCAACACATGTTTCGCAGCAGCTTTTATGTAAGCCAAAATGACCTCCAATTTTTTAAAGATGAAATCATGACAAGTTTCACAAACAAATAATGGTGTCTTTATTTGCAAGTACAAGGAGTTCGAAAATGAGAAAAGACCCTGTTTTGCTTCTTTGATTAATTTGAAGGATGAACACTTAAGATTAAATATTCAGCATGACCGGAGAGAGCTATACAGCTAGAGGAGGACAAGCCAGGATAGAACCTATAAAGCTGTTGTGTGTGATCCATCATCCCACAGCCACATTGAACATTAAAACTCCATGCTGTATAACTAGGACTCACTATAGACAAGACACAGGGAAAGGGATGGTGGTGTCATCCATGTTGCATCTTAACCCATTCATACAAAGCTAGAAAAGAATGAAATGCTGGCTTCCTGTTGTATTATTATAGATTCTCAGCTTGACATTTCCACTTAATCAGAGCTGGTAGACAGGATGCCTGCCAAGCAACAGATGTGCCCATATAACTTGGATGCTGTAATCAAATCACCCACTGCTTGTACCATCCCAATTAATTCAAACTGCGCAAAGGGCAATAGATAATAATCCTAATGAGTTCTTCAAATCATTTCCTTTAAAACAAAACAAAGATAACTTCAGCTCTATTTTTATTAGATATAATACAAAGTGATATTGACTGGAGCATTATATCATTTGAGAAATTGCACACTACTAGATAACAAAGGCTTCCTTTGTAAGAGGGAAAGCAGATGAGTGGGAAAGAGCTAGAAATCACACACATTGACATTTTAGAAATAGTAAGCTGTATGCGTAATCCAATTGGAAGACTCGTCCTTAGAGCGTTTGGCTGAGCTGTGGGAAGTAAAAATAGACTTATATGCTTCAGACTTCTCAGCATTTGCAATGGGCCGCTTCACATTTTTGCTTTCTTTTCCAGATGAAGATGAAGCACTCTCATTGACTGCTGTGTAACAAAGCACATAGACACTGTATGTTAACTTCTTTGATAAAACTGTACGTAAACAAATAGATAAACAGAAATAGGACTAGCTAAAACACACTCATGTTACATTTTAGGCATGTTAAATTGGTCACTTTTCTCCCAACATTTCCATGTTCAGCACAGGTGAATTTTGAGACTTCTGAAAATCAAGCAAAAATATGGTTTCTCTATTTTTTAAATTTAATTTAGGAATAACAAAATATGGAAATATGGGATGGCTGACATCTGGCTTGACAACAAAACATGTTCAGGAGATGTTGAGGATTTAGTAGGCCACAAATTGAACATGAGTCAGCTCATGATACAGTCGTCAAATATTCTAGGGTGTATCGACAATATAACATCCGGAGTGAAGTAAAAAGTTTGGAAATTAAGCATTGTGAAGAATGGCTTAGGGAGATGAGTACTGCACCACAGACGTTTGGACTAGATACTCCTTGGGGTCTGTTCCATCTGTCATTCGATTATTCTAGTCCACATGAATAATGTCTAGAGGAGCTCCTCAATCCAATTAAATGGTTTCAAATTTTGCTTTGAAATCTTAGTTAAGTTGTAACCTTAGTTGATGTTAATTGTGAATTTAATTGTGGTATTTAATTGTGGTTAAAGAGATGAGGCAAACTCGGGGAGCTGCTCATTCAGGAAAAGCAGATAAAGAGCCTGCAATCCCCTTCAGAACTTATTTAACTAAGAGATGGGCCATGTTATGGCTCCCACCTGTCCAAAGTAAAGTTCTAGATGAACATTTGGATACACTGGAAAGTTTGAAACCAACCTGTACTCTTGCAGAATGCAATGCTTCTCTTTTCTCCAGATTTAGTAACTGTGGCATTCTTTTCAGTATTTGCTTCAGAAGGTTTGGATGAATCTTTTAAAAAAGGGGGTGGAGAAAGGAGGGGGGGGGGAAGAGAAATCAGAGAACAAAGCTTACCAGAATACAAGAAGGTAAAATGATCTGGATCTTTTATTCAACTGAACTAGACAGTTATCAAAACCAGAAAATCCCAACTGGATGCCCCCGCCACAAGGGTCTTCCTCCAGGGGCAAAGCAAGAATGGGCAACTTGGAAGTCCCTGGACAGACACAGAAGTGGAGTTGGCAGATCACAGGACAATCTCACAAAATGGCACCACCTAGAAGAATCCTCCACCTTGTGTGACTGTGGAGGAGAACAAACACCTCCTCATCTGTGCCCACAATGGCCTGCCTCATGCATAGATGAAGAATTGTTTAAAGCTACAGACAATGCGGTCGCTGTTGCCCGTTTTTGGTCTAAAATTCTTTAGCCGTTTGTGCTCCCTCTGTTTTATCAGTTTTACACTTATTTACACAATGCTTTTGACACAAAATTAATAAATCAATCAAAATAACGGAATAAAATAAGCCAGATTTAGTTTATTGCTAAAGTGCCAAATTTACGTGCATGATCAAAAAAGGAAACTGAATTTCATTCCCTCAGCATTCTTCATATTTTCTGAGTAGAACTGTGACTTACCTTCAATGGGTTCAGGCTTCACGGTGGTCTCGGCTGCCTTAGATTTCTTGGATTTCTGAAACAAGGGAGGAAAAACTGATTTTGGGAGTTCTGCACAGATGCACTATGACAACAAGAAGTTCCAAATCTGACATTTGAAACAAGTGGTAAAAGTGCTTAATAGTGGGAGTAAAAGGTTTTACATTTACATAATAAAATCAGGACTACCTTACTGGCAACATTCCTATATGTCTGAAGGAGTACCTCATCCTATGACAACTACTGAGACAAGGAGATAAAGCAAAGAAGATTCTTCTTCAGCTTCATCTAGTGCCTGAAATCCTGTGTATGAGGACAACACTTTCTCTAAATTGGCTTCCCCTGTTTGAACTCCGTCTTTATGGAATCATAGCTGACTAGGTTGATGCAGGTTTTTCGGGCTATATGGCCATGTTCTAGAAGCATTCTCTCCTGACGTTTCACCTGCATCTATGGCAGGCATCCTCAGAGGTCTTGAGGTTTGACTCGGTCTCTCAAGGTACCACTTATCTGAGATCTAAGGAATTCTTTGGCTGCATTAACTGAAGTGAGACCACATGCAGGAATCCTTGCTAACAAAACATTTTACAATAAAGAAATTTGGACTTCCATGTGAAAAGCTGGTTATGAGTGTATAAATAATTTAATTCATTGAATCATGAAACTACACAGATGACATGGACTACAAGGATCATCCAAGTTCACCTGATTGCCTTAACAGAAATCCCTCATGAAAGCTTTCTTGAGACAGTCAGCCAATTTGTGTAGAACGAAGTAGAGTTTATCATCTTCTGAGCAGTCTGTTGTATAGCTGAACAGTTCTTCCTACTGTTTAACATAATCTAGGTTTTTTTGTCATTTGAATCCAGTGCAGCAGATTCTTTTTCCTGAAGCATTCCATCTTTCACCTGACAGTCCTTGAGATATTTTAAGAGGGATATCATATGGCCTATAGGTGTTCTCTTCTCCAGGCAAAACATATCTAGCTCTTTCAACCCTTCCTTATATGACTTTATTAGCAGATTCTTTAACATCTTGCTTGCCTCCCTCCCTACAGGTATGTTCCAGCTTGTCAATAGATCTAAAGAAAAGTTACTTTTCTGTTGCTAGTGGAGTTGAAATTTTGTTATCTGTCTTTTATTGTGCTTTGTCCCTAGTTCTCATATGACCAATAAGGGTCTTCTTGCACTGAAATCCCTCAATACCACCTTAACTGACAAAATGTCAGACAGAAGATAGGTCTATTGGTCCATGATTAACATCATGACCATTTTTCTTCTATACAATTTTTAACATCTTTGCTTGATCAAGACACCAGAGTTTGAAAGTTTGCATCATGGTTTGGATGTTGGACCAATAAAGGTGTCACTGCTTGTGTACTTTGTTATATTTTGCTGAGCAGCAAACAGGGCTACCCTTAAATAAATTTTGACCTTAGATGGAATTTATTATTTGAAATGAACTATCATATTTGTTTGATTCTAAGGCCATCAATCCTAAGACACACACTAATTTCAGTACTACCAACAGGAATGTGTGTGTGTGTGTGTGTGTGTGTGTGTGTGTGTGTGTGTATGCGCACCTGAGACTCTAAGATGCACGCCATTTTTAGAGATGTTTATATTAGGGAAAATGTGCATCTTAGAACAGATAAAATACAGTAATTTTTAAAACGTCAAATACAGTGTTGCAAAAATCAGAACTATTGTATACAGAAAAATCTATCACATAGAACTACTGGTGAGAAAGACAACAAAGCAGATGGTTTTCCCTATCATACCCAGCAGGTGGCAATAAAGGGCTTTTCTCTAATTAGCCGTAGGATACAAGGCTGGATAGGGCAAAGATTAGACTCTCCTTCCCCATCCTTCCCTCCACCTCTTCATTTATCCAAACTATTATTGAGATTTAGAGGGATGTAATTTACTTGGAAGCAATCTGGATGGGCAGGCACTTGAAAGTCACACATCTTGATCTCCATTTTAAAACTCTATATTTTCAGGATGTTTTATTGGAATTGCCAACCCAGATTCCCCAACACTTTGCCCTTCTCTCCAGGCACTCAAAACTGTGCAGAAAAATGTAACACTGGAAGTGCATCACAAAGGAGGTGGGGGAGGAGAGAATGCAGACTGGAACAGGTATGCATGAATGGGAAATCAGAGCTCCAGAGTTTTAGGAAACCCTTGGAGCTCCCCAGGGCTCCCCAGTCAATTTTAAATGCTGAATTTTAAATTTACATTCTATTAGTACTGTCATTTAATTCTTGTACTATGCCTTTTATGGCATTTTATAATAATGTATTCTAAATGTGTTGTACCCCAACTCGAACCATGAGGAGAGGTAGGTAAGAATAAATGTTAATATTAGTATTATTATTACTACTATTATCTCCTATAGTCAATGATGTTAGGATTCAGGAAGCCTGTAAAGTCCTAACTCATCAAGGAGACACAAACTTCCAAGTAATGCAGCTTAATCAGCAGTTTATAAATCAATTTTTGTGTGGTCTGAAACAGGCATTATATGGAGTCCTTGGTAATTTCCAGAAGTGGGGTGAGGTGAAGGTGATTTTGGTGTTCACGTATTTTGTATTACATTATCACCACCAAGAGAGATACTAGTATCATTTTCCTTTCCTTCACTTAGAAATGGCAATACAGCATCCTACCTATGTGCCATTCTTAGTCAAAGGAATCTCGTCCAGTACCACTCCTTTGGAGAATAACACTTCAGAGGCAAAGCTAATCTTTTAGTAATATAGAGAAGCCTAATAGCATTATATGCTTGGATATCCTCCAGCTTCCAGCATGAAAGCTGTCTTAACATCAATTTTCAACATGAATGTTAGCTGCAGAAGCTCACAATTGATTAAGTTTCATTCCCAACAGGAAGCCAGATGCATAAGCGAAAAGAGGCCTTGATGATGCAGTTGCTAGGGAATTTGTTCTTGCACGTCATTTCTCCCTACCATAAAAAGCTTGAGACATTGATTATAGAACTGAAACTGTTATCTTGATTGGAGACAGTGAGGCTCCCAAAACCTTGCTTGAAAAATGCAAAAGAAAGCTGAAGAGATGAAGAAAGGTCCACAATATTACAGAATTCCTCCCTTTACATTGTGTGCTTTGGGATGCCTGGAAATGCTTTCAGTAGTACTTCAAATCCTTCTATTACGTGGGACTGCCTTTGAAGACAGCTCAATTAGTACAAGATGAGTGGCCAGGTTACTAACAGGAGCGCAGCACAAGGGGTGAACCACTCCTATGTTGCAGCAGCTCCCAGCAGCTGCCGATCTGCTTTCCAGCTAGATACAAAGTGCTGGTCATTACCTTTAAAGCCCTAAATGGATCAGGTCCAGGCTATTTGTCAAACGACATCTCCTCTCATGTTCCAACTTGGACACTGCGGTCAGCAGAGAAGGCCCTACTCTCAGTCCCACCCCTGTCTGAAGCGCGGGAATGAGAGAGAGGACCTTCTCTGCGATCGCCCCCAGGTGCTCGAATTCCCTCCCTAATGAAATAAAAATGCCCCCCTCTCTTCTTTCCTTCAAAAACAATAAAAACATATATGCCCTCAATGCACTTTACCACTGATTTGTCTGCGTTCCCTCATTTCTCTTTGAAAACCCTGTACCAGTTATATCCTACCTTGTTCACACCCAGCGTTATTTTTTAAATTTTAAACTATTACATTTGGCCCGGCCATAGGTTTTTAAATGCTTGTGTGATACTGTTTATTGTTTATGTGATTTATATTAATTGTATTGTATTGATTGTTTTTGTTATTGCTTTTGTTATTGATGTACTGTGGGCTTGGCCTCATGTAAGCTGCATTGAGTCCCTTGGGGAGATGGTAGTGGGGTATAAATAAAGTTTTATTATTATTATTGTTGTTGTTGTTGTTATTATTTCTGTACTCTGGCATATGGAAAGGAGGTAGACTAGAAGATTATATTTACTCAATAGTCTTGTTCCAAATTTGTCATCATATTCTGACCCATTTGGTTTTGTTTCAGTTGACTCTGTTGATCTCACTGGTATCATCTAGAACAGGCATGGGCAAACTTCAGCCCTCCAGGTATTTTGGGAGTTGGGAGTCCAAAACATTGAAGAACAGGAGTTTGCCCATGCTTAATCCAGACAATTTGCATCCAAGTATTATCCAGACCTGAAATTACATAATTTACAATATCATCATGATATGGCGTGTTTAGACTGGTATGACAATATCTGTGGATAGCCCATTATTATATTTCTAAAAAGCTCTACTAATGTCATGGAAATGAGAGTATGTAAGCATATTGGTGTGTTTATGTGAGTGTATATGCTGAGGACTGGTGGACTGGTAAATTCTGAATTCTGTATTTGAATGGTCAGCATGTTTGCTAGAATTGCCTTAGATTTCACCACCCAATCTTCACATTCAGAAAAATAATTACACTTCTGCTTAGCAGCATCTAACTGATGTAGCAGAAGATTTGAAGGGGTAAATTAATGGAATTATTGCTCCATTCAGAATTTTTGCTAGAATTTTCACAATCCTGATGGACAGGAGAAAGCAAGCCTCCTGCCCGTTCATGTAGAACAGGGGTTCCCAAATTAAGGCCCAAGGGCCGAATACGGCCCTCCAAGGTCATTTACCCGGCCCTCACTCAGGATCAACCTAAGTCTGAAAGGACTTGAAAGCACACAACAACAACAATAACAATCCTATCTCCTCAGCCAAAAGCAAGCCCACACTTCCCACTGAAATACTAATAAGTTTATATTTGTTACAATTGTTCTCCATTTTAATCATTGTATTGCTTTAAGTGTTCTTTGCACTACAAATTAGATATGTGCAGTGTGCTTAGGAATTCATTCATTTTTTTTTTCAAATTATAATCCGGCCCTCCAACAGTTTGAGCGACTGTGACCTGGCCCTCTGTTTAAAAAGTTTGAGGACCCCTGATGTAGAAGAACAGTTACTCCAGTTTAGGGTCGATCTACACTATAGAATTAATGCTCTTTGACACCACATTAACTGCCATGGCTCAGTGCTATGGAATCCTGAGAGTCGTAGTTTGGTGAGGCACCAACAATTTGCCCGAAAAGACCAAAGACCTTGTCAAACTACAATTCTCATGATTTTGTCAAGAAAACATGAGGATCACCATATACTGAAGTCAATTTCAACATACATAAGAACAACAACCCACTACTTCTTATCCAATCTATACTCATGTCTTCACAAGTGCAAATAACTCAAAACAATGTGTTCAGACAAAGACCTTACCTTTCCCAGCTTACTCTTTAGTCTTCTTTCTTCCATTCGTTTCTTCAGCACTTCAACATCCTCTTTGGTACCATTAAGTACAATCACATCCTCCTCTTGAAATGGGATCCCACACTTTAATGAGAAAAAGCAAACAAGACATCATCACTATCATCGTCATCATTACCTATGCATTCATCTCTTCCTTCCTCTTGTTTTTGTTTTATTTAAACCTTACCTGTTTCCCATCATGGGGAAAATGGTACAGATGAGAAATCAGTTATCCACATGCACAAAGAATAAGATAATGCTCTAACAACAACAACAACAACAACAACAACAACAACTCTATTTATATCCCCACCACCATCTCCCTAAAGCAGTGGTTCCCAACCTTTTTTTGATCAAGGACCACTTCACCAGAGACCACTCTCCAACATTAGTACCAAAAGGGTTACGAATCAATTTTTGGTAAACTTTAGATTAGGCTTGGCTATTTGGGGTGCTGATTCAGAAAACTGCATTAGTTAGACCACATCAGCTCTAATTTCTGATACAGAACATATGCCATCCAGTAGTCACCATCTACTCACCCACAGAAAACCATATTTAATAATCTAGAACTGATATGCTAGAAATAATCTTTCATGGGTAGTCAGCCTCTCCTCTCCTGACATCCCCGTTGCCTCAGCACTGTAAGAGGGTTTCACGAGACCAGTCACTCTCATTGCTGTGTGGCAACAGTGCAGTAATGTTGGACCATTCTTGTGGATCATTGTTGATCCACGGACCACAGGTTGGGAACCACTGCCCTAAAGGGACTCGGAGCAGCTTACAAAGCAACAAAGTGCAACACAAATACTAACAGCATTAAAAAGAAAGAAGTAGGGCTGAAGGTCACATTGGGCTCACTGTCGTTAAAATGAATGTGAAAGTCCCACTGATTTCAATGCAACCCACTGGATCTAACCCACAGGACTCAAAGAGAAATCAGCATTAAGTTACAAAACAATTTACTGAAAACAACAGAACTGAACTGCTTTTATCCTTTTGATTTCAGTGGGACTCAAATCTGACTGGTATCTTTTGGATTGGTTCGTATGGTCTACTAATTCAAATTTGATTTTATTTGTAGCTTAATTGTCGGACTTGGCCACGGTGGTCCACGCTCTTGTTACATCCCGATTGGATTACTGCAATGCACTCTACGTGGGGTTGCCTTTGAAGACTGCTCGGAAACTCCAACTGGTCCAGCGAGAGGCAGCCAGATTGCTCACTGGAGCGACATACAGGGAGCACACCACTCCCCTGTTGTGTCAGCTCCACTGGCTGCCGATCCAATTCCGAGTACAATTCAAAGTGCGGGTTTTGACCTACAAAACCCTAAACGGTTCCGGCCCAGTGTATCTATCCGAACGGATCTCCCTCTACGTCCCACCTCGGAGCCTAAGATCCTCTGGGGAGGCCCTGCTCTCGACCCCGCCTCTATCACAAGTGAGATTGCCGGGGACGAGGAGCAGGGCCTTCTCGGTGGTGGCCCCCCGCCTGTGGAACTCACTTCCCGGGGAGATTAGATCGGCAACGTCCCTTCTTTCATTTAGGAAAAGGTTGAAGACCTGGATGTGGGACCAGGCATTTGGACATTCTGGCAGCTAAAGAAAGACTTGATGACGAGCTGGAACTTGACGAGACGGAAGGGATCTACGAACTCCGAACGCTGAGCTCAGGATTAGCCTACTACTGTGATTATGGTGTTGTTGTGTATTGATGATTTAATTTTTAATTTGTAATTGCTTAATTGCTTTTATATATGTATGTATATGTGACAAGGCATCGAATTGTGCCTTTTTCTGTAAGCCGCCCTGAGTCCCCCCCTGGGGGTGAGAAGGGCGGTGTAAAAGTGACGGAAATAATAATATATCCCAAATAGATTGATTTATTTCTAATCTTTATGTCTACCAAGGGACCCAAGGTAGCCACATCATAGATAACTTTTAACTTGTATATGCTTTTACATTATTTTATCTTGTTATGTATTATTTTTATCTTGTTACTTTTAAGGTGATGATTTTAGTTAGGTCTTAGAATTCTACTGTTTTTAGTTTATTCTTTTGTGAGTTACCTTAAGTTCAAATCCAGGAAAAGGCAGCATAGGAATGGAATACATTAAATTATACCCACAATAATTCTGTAAGGTGAGTTAGATTGAGAAAATAGTAATTTCTGGATTGGACAAGTGGCTAAAGAAAGGCAGTTTTTGTTTACTTCGAACATCATTTCTCAATGATTATCAGGTATCCTAAAGTAGTAAGACAGAGAACTTCGCTGTCGATTCATTTTCTTTACTTTGAGTTATCTACATTTAGATCTCCACCACATCTAAATCAAATAATAATAATAATAATAATAATAATAATAATAATAATAATAATAATAATATCTTGTTTAATTTTGTTCTGAACTCATAAAGAGACAAAATAAAAAAAATGTGCATTTGATATGTTTCTGTTTTAGGGAACAAAACCCTTGACCTGAAACAGAATAAAATTTGTTTTGCTAAGTGCCTCATAGAGCTGCAAACAAAAACTATACAAATTAGAAATGATAAAATAACATAGAGACTGACTGTGTTACAACAGAATAAAACAGGCAGAAGTAAACTATCATTTCCAATGTTGATTGCATTTTTCATCCATGAATATTTTTATGGCATTTCATATCCATAAGACTAGCTAATATAGAAAATATGGATAATTTTGAGTCAATTACATTCATTTTGTGTGCAAGTATGAGCAAAAAGGAACTGTACTTTCATAAAGCAGTCGTATTTCCCGCAGCAGGGTTACCTTTTTACACACACACACACACACACACACACAAAATTTATTTCAAAAACAGTTCTCAGTCTCTTAAACCAAGAAGACACAGCCTGAAATGTATTTTTTATTATCTACTTGGTAACCAGTTCTCTAATCTTACATTATAATGAGCCTTTTATTTACAAATATATTGCAAGTGTTGGAAATGACAATCTTCTACAAGTCTCCTCTAGTAATGTTTATCTATGATCCTGTTGCTTATTGTTTTCTATATGTATGTTCTGGTATGCAACTTCCTTTACTCTATGGTTTCTGAGAGGTTATAAAAGGGGGTGCAGACCACACGCTCTTTGACTATGTGATCTGTTGATAACTATTTTGTTATAAGAGAGATGCCCTGTCTGGATGGCACACAGAATTACCTCAAACATATCTGAACCTGGACTGATATGTTTTGTACCTGTGAATGCTGAACACATGAAGGTTGTCAGTAAACCAAATACGTTATTTTATCCAAGTCTGGTTCATTTTTGTCTGTTGAGAGCATGATATAAAACTAGTTGTTTTATGGGAGAATACTTTTGGGCACTGAAAAACACTTCTGAACACTGCTGTTTTTATGCACTCGCAAAACTGTTTTCCTAACAGATCAGAGATAACAGGTTATTCAGTCTAACAACTGAAACCATTGCCTTGCATAAACATATCTGGTTGTATACCAAAACTTCTTGTTTATTGCTATACTCTAAAGGGTTTTTGGCTCTTCTCTGAAAAGTCATCATTTTCTTACAAAATTATGATTTCTATGATTTTTCCAAAAAGTTATGAATGCCATTTTCCAAAAACAAAAATGGGAGTTTCCATCCTTTCTAGCCCACTTATACTCATTTATAATCATATCTTGATACCATTGTATTACTACAGAAAAGACAAAAATTTAAGACTACACTACAGAATCCATAGGGAAAAAAGGAGATACATGCTCAAGAATTCAGTGGATGACTAGTTTTATTTTGGAAAAAGCCCAATACATTACAGCCTATAAATATTTCAATGTCCTTTTTCCAGGGGCACATAACAACATAAAAATAAAAATAAATAAGGCAAAATTAAAAGGACAACACAAATTTTATTATACATATATAATACGCTTTAATTTGAAATATAGATATTTATAATATATTTATTTTTTTATGTAGCCCCTGAAGGACAGTGAAATATGGATAAACTGAAATACACTGCTTCCACTTCCCCCCCTCCAAAATAAAAAATAAAAAAAACCATCCATCTACTGAGCACATGGAAGTATGTCTCACTTTTTCTCCTGTGGATTACATTAATGTGCCTACTATCTGAACAAACACTCTTGGTGGTGCCTCTCTAGTTGAAAGCATCAATTTTCATTCATATACATCCAAACTTGATAGAGGATTTTAATTTTTTGCTAATGTAACATATTCAATGCTCTAGGATGCTTGACAGATGGAAGAAAGTTGTTCTAGTCACAGCTAGCAGAGTAAATATAGGAGTAAAAAGTGAAGAAAATGATAAGAGTGGACAAACTCAACCAGTGACATCAACGCACAATGAAAGCTATCACATTTCCATCCAATATAAATGGTTTTAAAAAAATAAACTAAAAAACTGGGCTTGAAAGAAAGAAACCTCAAATGTTACTGGTATCAATTTCTTGTTTATTGCTAGACAATAAACAAAACATCCTGGCAACATTTGCATGCACACTCAGAAAGCAAAATTACTTTGCCTCTTAAAAAGATGGAAACAACATTCATTGGTGGGTAACAGATGTCAACTGATGAGAAAATTAGAGGTAGATCAAGTAGCACTTAATGGTTTGGGGATTTTTTATTTATTTTTTGTTCAGCACCATGATTTCATTTTTTGCCTACTTCCTTTTCCTCTGGCCTCGACACTCTTCCTATAAACAAGGGTCTGATTGACGTAACAGGAAGCCTTTAAAACAGAACTCCACAGAGCTGAAAGCACATTTAGGTATTCTGCATGTTTTCAATGTGATGCGGTATCAAAGCACGTTTTAAAGGCAAGTGCTCATGTGTGATGTTCCTGAGGAAACCTTGCTGTGTGTTCTCACTTGACGTTTGAGGGTAAGTGTTATTGCTGTCTTGATATGCTGTTGGTTTATGGTTAAAATGTATATCTTCGTGAGGCAACATATATCAAGTGTGGGAATTACAGAGGCATCTGATACATCTTCTGTCACCTGTTTACAAAAGAAAAAGCTTAGGAGATTAGGCTAGCTCCCACTCTCCAAGCCTTTCATATACAATTGAAGAC